CCCCTTTCATTTTGAAGAAATGATTTTTCCACTTGTTATACTAATAACGAAGAGCTAGCAGAATACTAGAGTCAGAATAAGTCTCTGAGACATGTACCATATTTTCCGGAGTATAAGTCGGTACCTTTATCATGAAATTGGCTTGAAATGTTCAGGGTGCAATTTACACTGCGGATGTGCAACAGGGGGCGTTACCGTTAGTTTTACGCATGCACAGACCCGTGTGCATTTACAGCACATCGAGTTCAGCGATGGAGCTGCATTTTGTCATGCCTATTAGAACACTCTCTGCCTGGACACCAAACACCAACATCACGAGTAATCCCACCAGCTCCTCTATTTTACCGCCATCTACAGATGGCCCTGTCAGTCACACTGACCCAACATTCCCAGTGCTACGAAGCACAGGTTCCCCTGACACAGGAGTGCAGGGAGGAACTGATGTGGTGGGACACCCACATGATAAATTAGAATGGGAAGTCCATTCTCAAGGAGGAAGTGGACATAATAATAGACTCAGAGGCCTCCCCGACAAGATGGGGCGCCACCAGTCAGAGCCTGAGGACTGGAGGTCCGTGGTCAAAGGCAGAGGGCAGGATGCACATTAACTGCCTGGAGTTGCTGGCTGCAACATTAGCAGCCAAGACGTTCCTAAAGCACAAGACCAGGGTGTCAGTGCTCCTCAATACCACAGCAGTGGCATACATAAACAACCTGGGAGGAACAGTCTCCAAGGAATTGGTAGACTTAGCCAAGAGTCTATGGATGTGGTGCCTGGAAAGGAACATCCACATCACAGCCCAACACCAGCCAGGTGTTCAGAACGTGATAGCCGATGCAGAGTCTCGGACTATGATAGATCACACTGGTAGCTGAACCATTCAGCAGCATTGTAAACCTCTTTGGTCACATAGAGATGGACATGTTTGCCTCACGTCTGACCACTTAGTGCCCAGCCTTTTTCAGCTGGCGGCCAGATACCATCAAGTGTATTGTACGGACCGAAGCGTAAAGCGATGTACGAAGGTAAAGATAGGCTAGGAAAGGCTAGGGCTAGGGCTAGGGCTAAGGCAGCAATGCAGCGCTACAAGATGGCTCGCGGGTATGGACCCAAATGCGTCAAAATAGTGAGGACGCGGGTCACTGGTGTAGCTTGCTCGTAGAGCGCCGAGGGTTTACACTTTAGTGCTTTCTCATTTGCAACGTCATAATATTTGTATATTTTACCTAGAGCTCGCAAACTCCCTGTAAAATTACACGGTGTGATGTCACGTGAAACTATTCTTATAGTGGGAAATTTTTGAGGGAGAAAAACTTCTTTGCTAAAAGGAAACCCAAAAGTTTTCTCCCTCAAAGGTTTCCATAAGTTGATGCGATATTTAAATTCGATTTTGTTGAGCTCCAAGTTACAAAAGTGTTTCTCCCATTTTAGATACCCCTGAACGTCTTCGCGTTGATGATGGTACGTTTGCACACGCCTTTTCTTCAGTTACCATGTGTTGGTAACTCTGCTCAAACGCATTTTTCGGAGAATGAATACAAGAACATACCATTGCATGCTTGGCTATCTACAGCCGTTTAAAGGTTTTCATTTTTCACAAAGTAACACCTATAGCAATGCAAAACTCTCTGGGTGCATAAGTGGTTTGGGAGCCTATATTCCTGCAAGACAGACCTTGTGGGTGCAGTTGTACCAAATTTCTAAGCTCTGGCTGAAGTGTGGAATACTGTTTTCTTTTTTTTGTAGCTGGTGATGATGATGATGATATTGTGAGTAAGCTTGTGGCTAAAAAACATACATGTTGCCTTCTTGAAATGCCAAAAGGGGGGTGGCGAGGCCAACAATGACCACAATATGGCGGCAGATTCAACATGTGGAGAAAAGCCGGGGACATAGCCTGGTGTTACACGGGCTGTTTTAGCGCCGCAAAACACATACGGACAACTATGAAGCGCTACAACGTTCTCACACGAGTAGCGACCGGTACTATGCTAGAGGGTCCATTGACTGCCAAAAAAAGAGCTATCAGAAGACTGCCGCTCCCGCGGTCTACGCCGTCTCCTAGCTAGCGCTTCCTTCTTAGCTTCTGTCCTCCACGCCATGGGCTAAGGCTAGTTTTTTCCCTCAAAAGTTTCCACTCTATGTGATGTACAGAGGCTATTTGTGATATATGGACTCTCTATGGGACGGCGCACGAGGATGCGCACGCATCTGGTTTTAGGCTTTGCTCGGAATCAGACGATATATCAGTGCTTTCTGAGCATGTTTGCTGTGTTTGAGCCTCCATGAAGGCTCTGATAGAGCCTGCACGTTGGTCGATCATGGCGGACGCTTACTGTTCATTCAAATTACTCCCGTTGCCATTTTTTGGCCCGGTGACCCCCCTTTTATGCGGCACCTGCTCGTTTAACACACAATATGTGTCCCTATCATAATGTATTGCCTCGGGCAAATTTTTAATGTTTTTGTGCATTGGGCATTTCAGTAGTGAAACTGAACTGTACATATTTGAACTTTTTTGACATACTGTTAGTGATGTGTGTAGAAGTATTTCTACTGTGTAAGAATGGGGAATAGCACATTCAGTGTGACATGCAGCATTTTTCTACACAAGGACCCAGCCATAGTCTTCCTATTCAACCGGGGAGACTTCCACCATCTCCTTGGGCTGCCATCATCCCCTTGGCCTCAAGGTATGTAGCTTTGATGAGTTGCTGTGAAGTGATAGAAATTTCCTATAAAACCTGTCTATGTATATGACCACCTTTAAACATGCAGTTGCCACGTAGGAAAATGCACATTCATAAAACCTGTTGACCCTGCCTTGTCCTAAACACAAAATTGATGTTTACACTCAATTACACATACATACTTTTTTCATAGGGGACCCAGCAATAAGCTTCCCCGCACAAAATTGTACGATGGTCCATGTGAGCCTATTTGGGTGGAGTGTGACTTTGCTCTGTGCAAGTAACTCTCCACCCAAATAGGCTCACATGAGCCCTTTCATGTCTATAAAGACGCAAGCAAAAAACCGACAAATCTTGGTTGTGCTCGTGCTCGAGTGGTCTATGTAACCAAACTGGGACTAACGTTTGTACAATTATGTGTCGGGAAGCTTATTGCTGGGTCCCCTATGAAAAAAGTATGTAATTAATTTTGTGTTTAGGACAAACAGAGGCACAGAGTGTCGACATTTTCCTGCGAGGTATCGACACCCTTGTGATGACTCACTGTTGCAGAGACGTTAGGGTGAAGGATGCCCATGGGAATGAAGTTGTGGGGATGTACCAGAGCATGAAAAGTGAGTTTCAACTCACACAGACAGAGGAAGACAAAGGTTTCTGTTCTGCTATCCTATAACCATGCACATTAAGGCAACACTGAAGTGAACAATCCAATATGGAAATAAGCACTGGCTTAGATTCTGCCCATGAAGTTACTCGGAGGAAGAGTATCAAGTCATGCATTGTCCCCAAACACTACCATCTGATGCAGCTAGCCCGTGTTAGAGCAAGAAACGACACTGTCTAGCTTCATGGCGTGGCAAATCAATTAGCAGTGCTTCTGCACATGCGGATTGTACACAATGGAATTTATTGCATGCACGTGTTATATTTGCACCGAGGGTTTGCACTTGAGTGGTTTTATTTTTGTTATTACCAGAGGGCGAGTTGCAAACAGTGCAACAAGCACTATCTCTTCTGAACGGCTGGGGGACAGAGGCCAAAAATGCAGTCCCTAACAGCCTGAGTGCGGGTCTCTTTTATACCATTACACCGAGTGGAAGGAGACAAAGGAAATTACCAATGATTCACCACTTGGTGGGGCCATTTGTCTGAGGTAAGCAAATAACATAGAGATTATTAGTTTGCCCAAACACTCTAGCTCCCTTAAACATGCAGTTGCCATGTAAATAGTGGGAAAATGCACATTCTAAAATACCAGACCCTTCCTTCCATACTAACACTTAGCACGCCACGTGCCGCACAGTGCCGCGAAATACTGCGCCACTTGTTTCGGAAAACAATCAGCGATCCTTGTTATACGTTTATATATTATAAATAATTATTATCTTCAATGGCTCGTTATAGAACTGAAGTTGTTGAATTAGTCTTAGCTGGAAATTCAGTTGTAGATAGTGACTCTGAGCTAGAAGAAGACCCAGCATTTCCACTGCCTACTCTGGACTCGGAGGAGGAATCTCCTCTCTGCCTTCACCAGCACTCTACAGCATGCATCTACTCACGTAATTGTACTCAACATAGATACACAAGTTTCTGCGACTTTAGGTGATCTTTCAAGGTGCTGATCCTTGTATGATCAAGACAGTACCATCATCTCATCGTTCATACGTACCAGCATCTTATCGTTCATATCGTCAATAATTGGATTTGACGAACTCATCCACCCCAAGCATCCCGTTGAACTCACTTGAAGCACCCCTACTCCACATTCTTTTCCTAAACATGAGGAGGACAGTTACCTAACCTTATCTAACTGCATCTTCTTAGGAGGAACAAGGTGTGGAGGGTAACTGTACACAAATTCCGGGTGGTTCAACTGCACTTGCTTTCTCTGCACTAAAGTGGTTCGAAAAGGTTCGAGGAAGTTCGCTGCAGTTCAACCGCCCGGAAGTAGTGTATAGGTACCCTACACACATTGATCCCCTTGTGGAGTGGAGATGTGGTTTGAAAGGTTCGAGGAAGTTCGCTGTGGTTGAACCACCCAGAACAAGTAATTATACACACCTTGATCCCCTTGTGAAGATGTGGTTCGAAAAGGTTCGGTATAGTCAAACCACCCTGAACTACATTGTTTTCTATGCATTGAAGTGGCTCGAGATGGTTCGAGGAAGTTCGCTGCGGATGAACCACCCAGAACACTCTCCTTCTCTCCTCGAGAGCAACGGGGGTGGTTGGCTAGGGCTGCTGCGGCCAGAACTGACAACACTGCTGCTTACACACACACACCACCAGAGGTTCATAAAGTCGCCAGTCGGCCACTGGTCTGCTTGGACAGTTCAAACTGATGTTTCATGCTATTGATACTCATTGTGCTACTTTGGAGAGGATCAGTGGTCGAACCACGAGCCCTTAAGCCCTTGGTTGGCGACGTGTATCTTTACTAATGACAGACTTCAGACTTTCCAGAAAATGACTGATAGTTTCTTTTCTGGACACTCTTTGTTCCCTCGCCTCTCTGCTGTCCTGGACCATCCTTTCCACCATCATTCCCCTCCCTCTCCCTTCTTTCCACATTCATTCCTCTCCCCCTACCTCTCCCTCTCCCTTCTTTCCATTTTCCACCATAATCCCTGCCCCCCCTCCAGCTATTTTGCTGTATGCTACTTTTCTCTCTTTTTTTGCCACAGACCACTCACTGGGAAGAGAGAGAGAGGGAGAAGAAGAATTTTCATCCTGTTACCTTTGTTACCTTCATCCTGTTGAAAATATTGATTCAATATCGATAGCAGCTACAGAGCAACGCACATGGATGGAGAGAGAGATCACGTGATACAAAAGTAATATTGAAATCAATGGATAAATAGAATGTCCAGTTCTAGTACAGTTCTGGTGCGAGTGTTTCTTTCCAACACATCCTGTATTTGTTTTGTTCTGACACACTTTGTTTTCTCCGCACTGAAGTGGTTAAAGAAGGTTCGAGGAGGTTCGATGCAGTAAAACCATTCCAAACTAGAGTACGAGAATCCTAACCTCGTTCCCCTTGCATATATTATGTTCATAAAGAAGGTTCAGTACAGTCGAACCACACAGTGCAAGTAGTATAATTATAAGCCGCTTCATTGCGTGAATCTGTCGCTGACGTAATGAATGTGGGGTAATTGCCGGGTGGGCACTTATTAGAAGTGTAAAGTGTGCTTCAGCAGGGTGAAGGTGAGAAAGAAACAATAGAAATGCTTCAGCATGGTGAAGGTGAGTTGATGGAACCAGGGACAATAGAAATGCAATAAAATATAAAAAAAAACCACTGTTCAATGATGAAGAAGACCACCAGTACAGCGATGATTTGCAGAGTGTATATGAAACATCACATCAACAAACACACTGTGAATAGAAAGGTAAAGTGCAGAAATTATCACAGGCCGTCGATCTATCATGTAGAGCATGCATAGAAACCTATACAAGTCACATACATGTACATGTATGTGTATGTTACAATTGCCTACTGCCACCAAAATGGGGGGAAAATCACCACGAAAGAAGATAATGTGAGATACTGGCTGAGTGAGCACTTATTAGAAGTGTACAGTGTGGTGAAGGTCAGTTGATAGAGAGAAAAACAATATAAACGCAATAACAAAAATAACCGACGCTTACTGGTTCATTATGATGATAGAACACCACCAGTACATTCGGAACGGCTGCGATGATTTTTTCTCTCCACCAGTACAGTAGAAGCTTCTCTAGAAATGAGGGAACCTGCAGAGTGTATATGAAACATCACATCAACAAACTGTGAATAGAAATTGTCACAGGTCTTCAATCTGTATCATATAAACTGTGCATGGGAAAAATTCAAGTCACTTACAGGTAACTACAGCCAACATAACGAGAGAAAAAATCACCACGAAAGAAGGTAATGAATGTGGGCTAATGGCCGAGTGGGCACTTATTAGAAGTGTAAAGTGTGCTTCAGCATGGTGAAGGTGAGTTGATGGAACCAGAGACAATAAAAAAACAAACCATTGCTCAATGATGAAGAAGACCACTAGTATACATTCGGAACGGCTGCGATGATTTGCAGAGTGCATCACATCAACAAACACACTGTGAATAGAAAGGTAAAGTGCAGAAATTATCACAGGCCTTAGATCTATCACGTAGAGCATGCATAGGAGTCACATACAGGTACATATGTGTGTGAAAACCACCAGGTACGAGGTAGAAAGGCAAGGCACAGCAAACAATTCAACTACACCCAGGACAGCTTTTTTCCCAAGGAAAAAAGGAGCTTCCCTAGGTGGGATTCGAACCAGCGGCATTCTGCCTGCAACTGAGCTACAAGGGCAACTCAGCTGGTAGGGGTTTGAATCCAACACAAGGCAAACCTCAAACCACTGTGCTATGGCACAGTATACTCTCACTTAGTATGTAAATTGCCTACTGCCACCAAAATGAACCACGAAAGAAGGTA